CCGCCCGGTGGAGACTATCCACGATTCCATGGCTTAGTCCGCCAAATTGAGAGTGTGTTGAGTGTTAAGAGATTTAAAACGTTTTTGGGAGATCGGGAGGAGAGAAAAAACGTTTTTAGAGAGAGAAAGTATAGAGAGTGAATTAGCTGTAAGCGATTTATGTGGTGTGTGTGACTTGCTGTGTGGAGGGACTTATGGTCTGTTGAGAAAGGGGGAGGGGTGCTCCCTATTTGTAGGAAAAATTCGTAGTTGAATTCCTCGACTTACGCTAACATTCACCAACATTCTCCATCATACACCAATATTCCTCACCAATTATTGTATATGGGAAAGTTCAAGTATGTATGAGAATGTATGAGAAAGTTTTGGTATGTAATGGAAAATAAAGGAGTGAATGAGTTATAGAGGAAAAATGTAGGGGGAAATAGATTTGCTTGGGCATGCATACATTTATGCATATGAGTGAAAATAAAAGAAAGAAAGAAAGAAAGAAAGAGGGGGAAAGGAGAAGGGAAGGGTGGCTTCTGCCACTCTCACGTGGGAAGAGAAGGAAAGAAGGGGGAAAAGAGAGTGAAAGTGAAAGAAAATAGAAGAATATAGGGGAAAATTGGGGAAATAAGGAGAAAGTAAATGAAAATGAAGGAAATAAGATAAATAATAATAATAATAATATAGTAATAATAATCATATTAAATGAAATATAATAAGATATAATATATTAATTATTTAATAATAATTGGAGTAAAATACTTTATTTCAACGGGCAGGTGAAGTAGGTGAATACCGGGTCCATCAATTGCCCCCCCTGCCGGTAGAAAATCATGAGAAATGACTGTGATTTTGGCAGGAGTTCATGAAAAATGATCGTGACTTTTCTATCGGCAAGAAGATAACATAACATGTTTTAAAGCAATCGCTTTGGCTGTTCATATCCTCGCCTTAATGTAGCTCACGAGCATAGGACTGACAGGATATATGTCTTTTTTGGCATTTACTAGTCTAAAAAAATTGTGGCATGAATATTTTTGCTCATGTGAAATTATTTTGGCACAACCTAGTGTTTAATTTACCCAGTAATGAAAAGAGTGTAGAAATGATTACCAAATGAGGCATAAATTTTGGAGTTTTACGTGACATATCCTGGTCATCATGGAGAGATAGTTTGACTGTATTTGGTCCCACCACTTTGCGCATCTTGTAAGGACCTTCCTACTGGGGAGTAAAATTTCCATGACTTTAAATTTTTTTGAAGTTTCTCCTCGGAACCCATTCTCCTTCCCGGATGGGTCGATTTCTCACTTTGACGTTGAAATAACGCGTGATCCTCTCTTTGGAAGCGACAAGTAGCATAAGTGCGTATTCTCAACGCTCCTCTATGAGATGTAGATCATGAGTGAGCTCGATTTGATTTTCATCGGGGTGGAATGGTGGGATTCTATAAGAGGAGAGCTCCATTTCAATTGGCAACATAACATCAGTGCCAAACTGCCAATGTCAGTATGGCATCTCCCCGGTGGAAGTTTTGTAAGTTGTTCGTCCAAAGCACATGTGGCAGCTCCTCGACCCATTGGCCCTTGGCTTGGCCTAATTCTTGAATTGTGTTCCCTAATCGATGATGGGGTTAGATTCCCCCACTATTGATTGTTGTAATAGGGCGAGTCTCCGCTTTGATGGTAAGTATGCTAGTAGTATCCTGAATATTCATCACAATGTGGCGGTGATTTAGTTAGACTTTGGCAATATTCTTCTCACCGGGCCCCACGGTGGGCGCCAATTGTTGATGCCAAGCTTAGAGCAGCCTGCTGCAATATGTTTAAGGTCCGGAGAGCGCTGATTTCCCAAAGGCTTTAACCAAATCCAGCTCCGTGCGAATACCTGAAAAAAGGTCCCACCGGGGGGGAGGGGGGGTCCTGGTTGGAACCTCCTCCGACGCTCAAATTAGTAACCTGAATGGAATAAAATAAATACGATGACGTTAGACCTGGTTCGGTCCCACGGTCGTAATTGAGCGTCGTCGGCTATTTAATGCCGCCTGGTGGAGACTATCCACGATTCCATGGCTTAGTCCGCCAAATTGAGAGTGTGTTGAGAGATTTAACACGTTTTTGGGAGATCGGGAGGAGAGAGAAAACGTTTTTAGAGAGAGAAAGTATAGAGAGTGTATATTGTGTGTGAGTTGTGTTGTGTGCATTAGTCGTAAGCGATTTATGTGGTGTGTGTGACTTGCTGTGTGGAGGGACTTATGGTCTGTTGAGAAAGGGGGAGGGGTGCTCCCTATTTATAGGAAAAATTTGTAGTTGAATTCCTCGACTTACGCTAACATTCGCCAACATTCTCCATTATACCTTAACATTCTCCATCATACACCAATATTCCTCACCAATTACTGTATATGGGAAAGTTCAAGTATGTATGAGAATGTATGAGAAAGTGTTGGTATGTAATGGAAAATAAAGGAGTGAATGAGTTATAGAGGAAAATGTAGGGGAAATAGATTTGCATGGGCATGCATACATTTATGAATATGAGTGAAAATAAAAGAAAGAAAGAAAGAAAGAGGGGGAAAGGAGAAGGGAAGGATGGCTTCTGCCACTCTCACGTGGGAAGAGAAGGAAAGAAGGGGGAAAAGAGAGTGAAAGTGAAAGAAAATAGAAGAATATAGGGGGAAATTGGGGAAATAAGGAGAAAGTAAATGAAAATGAAGGAAATAAGATAAATAATAATATAGTAATAATAATCATATTAAATGAAATATAATAAGATATAATATATTAATTATTTAATAATAATTGGAGTAAAATACTTTATTTCAACGGGCAGGTGAAGCAGGTGAACACCGGGTCCATCACCTGCATTATGCTTTTTTGGCGTCTTGTTTGCAGTCTACAGAGTTGCAAGCTAAACTCTTAAGTCATTATGGTATTCTATCTCTTGACCCTGCTTTTTATAATGTCCTACACACCTTTAATGAGTTTACAGGTTCTGATCTCTTATGTGACCCTAGTGGAGTTGTTGCCCCATAACTGATGAAGAAATTGGCATATAGATATTTCGCGAAGGTTGTGACTACTTCAGATTCTGTTTTCTCGTTGACTACGGGTCAGGTGGCTTTGTGGAAGTCTCAGCAGAGTGTACACTCTTCTGATTGGTTGCGTGTTGTTCTTATTGCTGGGTTGGGCCAGACTATGAATGGGAGTACATATCGTAGTGTGCTTAATTATCGCCTAGTTGTCCCGTTTTTTCGGTATCTAAGCCATGTCCTCCTTGTTCATGTGTCTTTCATGGTGATGTCTTTGGGGATCATGGTGTGTCATGTGCTGGTTCTGTGGGCATTAAGCATCGGCACAACCTTGTTCATGACACCTTATTGGATATCTATTACAGGTCTGGGATTTCTGCTAGTAGGGAGGTTGATATCGGATTGGTAGATGTGCACGACGGACCCCTTCGTCCAGCAGATTTGCTTCTTGGGACAAGGGGAGAGATGTGTGTGTAGATTTGACTGGATCTTCACCTCTGACTCAGACTGGGATGACTGGTTTTGTGCCTGGCCGAGTTGTTGCTAATCATGCTCAACGAAAGTGTGCCAAGTATCGGGACTTGTGTATGGCCGCTGGTTACAGTTTCCTGCCCTTTTCTTTTTCTTTGATGGGAGAGTTGGATACAGATGTCGTGGCTTTGCTCAAGAGGATCCAGAAATTCTCCATGTCTCATGATGCAGGAGCTCGGACTGCCGCGTACATTTTTACTATAGTTGGTTTTGCTATAGCTAAGAGAGTGGGGCCCAAATTGTATCTCGACTATCCACTAAATTTTTGTAGACCTTTGTTTTTTCTTCTTTCACTCATTTATTTTATAATAATAATAATAACACCTGAGAATTATAATATCTTGTAGTAGTTCGTTTACAGGAAATCACATAAATGAATATAAATAAAAAGTACCTAGGTAGTTGCAAAGACCCATATCATTTGGGGGGGGGGGGGGGGGGGGGGGGGGGGGGACATGCTCATTCTGGCTCCTAGTCCTACCATTGATATAAATATAGACCAAATTTTAATAAGGTAACATAGAATTAAGGATTAGGTAATTTAGAATTGTAGCTTAAAGGAAACAATTGTCGTTTGTTGGGTTAGTACGTGCCATACTCACTGGCTGGCAGGCAGCATCAATCAAACGAATCCCACTAATTGCAAATGCATATGTATTTCTTTCCTTTCAAGTGTTCCAAAATCCCCCCCACTTTCTATACTCGGCAAAATCCATCCATTTCAGACGTGATTGCGGTGTGCAGTGCACCTACCTACCCAACCAATCCCTGAGACTTGAGAGGCCAACCCACCACCATTTATTAATTTTTACTCTTTACCATTTTTACCTGATTCTTTTCATTAGACATACAAATTAGTTTTGGAGGATGTATGATCGTTTTGAAGCACCTTCAAAAGTTGAAGTCGGATCAAACAGTTTTATAAATTGAAATCGTTCATCTTAATTTTGTTTATCTTTCACGTATAACAAATATCACCACCATCACCGTTGTGGCATGCAAATCAAAGAGTGAACCAAATTCAATATACTAAAGGCTCTTTCATAGTTTTCTCCTCCAAATCCCTAATTTTAGCTAGGAGAGAATTCAATGCTAGCTCCAAATCCGAGTTCGGCTCAGTCTCCAACACTCTCCCTAGCTTCTTCTCGATCCACATCATCGATTACTCTTTAGATTCATACTTTTAGTTGGGAGAATCCAATGCTCCAAATTTTAGTTCGTCTCAATCTTAGACAATCTTCCTCATTTCATCTTGATCCACTTAATCAATATCTCTTTTCTCTCCTATCAAGAGACTATAACGCTCCACCTAATGCTTTCAGTCGTCTCATCAATCTCCCTGCTATGTACGCCTGCCATGTTCTTTGACTCTTTTGCCAATCTTCTTCAACCCTTACGAATGGTGCATCGTCACCGGAATATACATTGATATCATTGAAGAATTTGTAGCCACAAGAGACCTAGGCTCATCCTTGATTGTAGTTGTAGAGAACAAATATAATCACCATATTTGGTGAAAACTTAGAAAGCCACATAGATTACCCAAGGCAATATTACTTAAATCTGAGTGGTACCAATGAACTTAATTCCTTCTATAGGAGTTTCGTACCTTTGAATTTCAATTGTCGCCTAATATGACCTTCAATTGAATGAACATCTATAGTCGAGTATTTGTTCTCGAAGGAGGCGGCGAATGAAGGGGAAAATAAAAGTACAGAAATGTTAGATCATTCCAACACTTTTTGCTGGTGGTGGTTTGGTAATGGTTAAAAAACTTGTTGAGGCAAATGTGTTAGGAAAATCTAAATTTGAGTATTACTATGTTTTAGTGTGAAAAAAGTGTCATATTATCGCGTCATTCTTCCGCACAAAATGGGCTTCTCTTCTGGATTTTCTGAACAACAGAAAGAAAAAGAAAAGCAGCAACATTCCCCCACTGGAGAATGAATGATGACACGACGGCGACCACCCAACCCAAAATCCACTCTACCCGCCACCATAAATGGCACACAATGCGCCATCTCTTCTCTTTCTCCGAATCATACAAACTTCCTTCTCTCCCTTCAGTTGCCAAGAACAAGAAGAGACTCTGCCGCCGCGTGCACACTTGACTTCCCCCGTTTACTCGATTCACCTCTCTTGATCATGGCGGTTAGAGGCATTGTTTTGGCGCTGGTGTTGGCAATGGCTGTGCTCCATCATGCCCATGGAGCCGTTCACAAGGTCAGAGACTCCGCCGGCTGGACCACGATTGGGAGCCCCGATTACAAGCAGTGGGCTGTCACCAAGACCTTCCAGCTCGGCGACGTTATCCGTAAGTCTCGGCCTTTTTCCCCTTTTTCGCTTCCCACTCCACCTGTTTGTTTAATTTCCTCTGAGAGAGTCTTCGCCTGCAGCACATGAAATTTTAGGGTTCTCTGTTTTCTTTTGCCTTCTTTTTTCTGTGAATGCGCTGAATGTTGAGTGCTTTTCTAATACGTTTCAATGGCGCACTTTGATTTCCTGCCTTCCCCCATTGTAGATTTAGTGGGTTTCCAATTCATCCCAGAATTCTTGGTGATATTTCGTGCGGATAGAAGTCATCTGCATATAAGTGATCTGATCAAAATAGTGTCTCCCAACTCCCTGAAATGAGTGTGTTTATTGGCCCAATTCAATTCATCCACCCACCCACCTCCATTTCTGATGGTCCCCTAACTCGCAATCTGTCTTCTCACTCAAACCCTTACTCGCATGCTTCAGTTTGATCATTATTGTATGTCGCTCTCAGAACTTGAGGATCTGGAAAGTGAACAACCACCCACCTTAAGAATTGTCACGCTCTGGATCGGTGAAGTCTCCCGGCGGTGGAATCAGATAGGAGGAGGAGAGGAAAGTTGAGAAGAGAAGAAGAAGAAGAGAGAGAGAGAGAGAGAGGGAAAGTTTGTTATTAATTCTCAGATGACCGTTAGGTTGTTACAGGGGAGGATTATATACACTTGCCAAATATCCCTTTTAGTCCCTGTACTTCTACTAACCTCACTAACAGCTTTTATTCTTTACATTTAAGTCCCACGTGTTACAACTCCCTTCTCCTTCAGAACTGACTTGGCCTCAAGTCTGGAATTCTGGAAATTTTTGCTTGATCTCATCCAAGAACTCCCAAGTAGCATCCTCCTCCGCTTGATGTGTCCATTGCACCAGTATCTGTGTAGCTGCTTCATTTCTTCTAGCTACAACCTTCGGGCCAGAATCAAAGCTGGTTCCACCTTCAATCCCCCATTGTCATCTATCTCAGGAAGAGCAGGCTGTGTGTTATACTGATGGCCACGAGCACGCTTCAAAAGAGAAACATGAAACACTGGATGTATAGCAGACCCCTGTGGTAGCTTCAGTCGATATGCCACACTCCCAACCTTTCTTTCAATCTCAAAAGGTCCATAAAACTTGGGGGATAACTTCTGATTTAACCTGGTGGCCACAGACGATTGCCTGTATGGTCTGAGCTTCAAATACACCCGCTCCCCTTCTTGAAATGAACGCTCAGTTCGATGAGCATCTGCCATTTGCTTCTGGCGATTCTGAGCTTTGGCCAAGTTTGCTCGCAATACTCCAATGAGCTTATGTTGTTGCTGAGGTCTGTCTGATACAGCTGCTACAGCAGTAGAGAGGGGATTGGTGAGGGAAATTGTGAAGGGGCATAGCCATATAAGGCTTCAAAAAGTGTACCCTGCAGACTGGAGTGGTAATTCGTGTTGTACCACCACTCAGCCAAAGTCAACCATCCAGCCCACTGCTGAGGGTGATGATGAACCATGCCACGCAAGTATTCTTCCAAGCAACGATTCACGCTCTCAGTTTGGCCATCTGACTGAGGGTGATAGGCAGTAGAATAGTGCAACTTGACCCCTTGAAGCTGGAATAAGGTTGATCAGAAAGTGCTGGTAAACAGGGAATCCCTATCGGACACAATGGTCTGTGGTAACCCATGTAATTTGAAGATGCCATCAAAGAAAACTTGGGCCACTGAGACTACAGTATAAGGCTTAGCCAAACTGAAGAAGTGGTTGTATTTGGAAAACCTATCAACCACCACAAACACCACCTCTTTACCTTGTGATTTAGGCAGTCCCTCTATGAAATCCATGGAGATGTGTTTCCAAGCCTGATCTGGAATGAGCAGAGGTTGCAGCAAGCCAGGGTAAGGGACATTCTCAGTTTTACACCTCTGACATATGTCACAAGCTTGAATATACTCCTTCAAGTCTTTCTTGAGTCCAGGCCACCAAAAATACCTCTTCAACCTCTGATAGTTAGCTTGTAACCCCGAGTGTCCCCCTACAGGTGAGTCATGGAATAACTGCATTAGCTGCTTCCTCATAGTGCCCCCTTCTCCCACATACAAAGCAGCCTTATGGTATAACAGGCCTTGCTTAACTGAGTAAAGTTTAAGACCAACCATAGGGACAGATGCCTCCATCATAAGTTCCTGTACCCCAGAATCCCCTTCATAAGTGCTTTCAATCTCAGCAAGCCAGGCAGGTAGAGTGGCTGAAATGGCCTGGCAGGATCCTTGATCAGTAAAGTTGGGGTGTCTAGATAAAACATCAGCCACTTTATTGAATCTACCCTGCCTATACTGAATCTCAAAGTCCAGACCCAACAACTTAACTAGTCCTTTTTTCTGTATCTGAGTGTGAATTTTTTGACCTAGCAGGTGCTTTAAGCTTTCATGGTCTGTTATAATAACAAACCTGCGCCCTTCCAAGTAATGCCTCCATTTTGTTACAGCAATCAGAACTGCATGATATTCCTTCTCATATGTAGAAAGGCCCTGCTTCCTTGGTCCAAGAGCTTGGCTGTGATAAGCCAGTGGCTTACCACCCTGAGACAGCACAGCTCCAATCCCTATATCACTAGCATCAGTTTCCAGCACAAAAGGTTGACTGAAATCTGGTAGGGCTAACACTGGAGCCTGCACCATAGCTGTTTTCAACACTTCAAAAGCCCCCTGAGCTGCTGCAGACCACCTGAAACTATCCTTCTTGAGCAGATCAGTCAAAGGCTTAGCCAAAATGCTATAATTCTTCACAAACTTTTTGTAATAGCCAGTTAGCCCCAAAAACCCTCTGAGTGCTTTAATATTCTTAGGGACTGGCCAAGCCACCATAGCCTCCACCTTACCAGGATCAGTTGAAACTCCTTCTTGATTGATAATGTGACCAAGATAGTCTACTTGAGTCTGGCCAAAGGAACATTTGGATGGCTTAGCATACAAGGTATGAGCTCTGAGGATGCCTAGTGTAATAACCAGATGTTCCTTGTGGCTATCCTGATCAGGACTGTAAACCAAAATATCATCAAAAAATACTAGGATGAATTTGCGTAAATGGGGAGCAAAAATCTGGTTCATAAGAGCTTGGAAGGTTGCTGGAGCATTTGTGAGACCAAAGGGCATCACTTTGAATTCATAGTGACCCTGATGAGTTCTAAATGCTGAACAGAGGTCCCACCAGTGTAGCTGTGGTCTTCTTGATCATCTTCTGAAGGGTCTTCCCCGAGATAGCCTTGCACTGAGCCATATCTTGCACACCCTGCAAAGTCACTTCCTGCCCTTCCCAATCAAAGAACAACTGTAGGTTGATAAAATCAAATTTGACTGGGCTAATAGTTTTCAACCAATCCAAACCCAATACCACATCATTAGTTCCTAAACTCAGGATTCTCATATCGTATGTGAATTTGTGGTTCTGCATTTCCCAGCAAAAATCCTTACAAACCATACTGCTCAACAGAATTGTTCCATCAGCCAGCTTAACCCTCAAAGGAGATTCTGCCTGAACCAACTTACACTTCAAATCAATAGCCTTCCTTTCACTCAAAAATGTATGTGTACTGCCAGTGTCGATGAGTACAAATATCCTTTCCTTTTTCACCTTACCCTTTACTATCAAGGAATTGGATAAACCCCCACTGCTCAGGGCTTGCATTGAGACCTCCACTATTTCTGGCTGCTGGTCATCTCTCAAGACCTCCTCCATATCCTCATCATCCATAACACTCCAATCTTCTGGTGCCAATATCTCCCCATCGTCTGCCTGCATCACATCAAGCTGCTTTTTAGTATCACACACATGACCAAAATAGTACTTATCCCCACATTTGTAACAAGCCCCTTTGGCATAGTTCGGTTTGTTACTAGTAGATGCTTGTGCTTTTCCCAAGTTTTGAGGACGACCACCACTAGGCCCTTCCCATTTCCTAGCAGTAGGATTGATTCCTTGTGCCATAGGTGGAACTGAACGCATGCCATTGCCCATTCCCAGTCGCCATTTCCTTCTCTTAGCTTCATTTGCTGTCTCCTCCAATTGTGCAAGTTGAAACGCATGAGCTAAAATCACTGGCTGCCACATCTTAATCACTGGCCTCAGTTCTTCCTCTAACCCACTGACAAAACTGGAGATGAAATACTGTTCCCCCAAGGCTGGATTATACCTGACCATCTGTGATTTCAGCTCCTCAAATTTCTCTTGATACTCAGACAACGAACCTCTCTGGCGAAGCTTATTGAACTCCTCCACAATACTGCCAAATTCACGATCACCAAAGCGACTACACAAATCTCTCACAAATTCTTCCCAAATCCAATCCCTATGCTCAACCTTCCATCCCTCAAACCAAATATCCGGACGACGATCAAAATAAATGGAAGCCAATCGTACCTTCTGCTCATCAGGGACCGCATAAATGTCGAACAACTTCTCACACTTCCTAATCCAATCCCTTGGATTCTCACCCCTAAACTTAGGAAAATCAATGCGAGGCAGCTGGATCTGATCATTACCTCGTGGTTGACCTAAGACGTGCCCCTGCTCGGCATCCAGAATGTTCGGAACAAAGCCCCGCTGCTGTGGTGGTGGAACGGCCCCCGGCCGTTGAATTGGCAAAGGTAAGAGACCCCGGCCATCGTGGCGAGCTAATTGTTGATCGGCGGCGGTCTCTGGACGAACTTGAAGTACCTCCAATCGACGAATGATCTCCTGGATATTCTGATCCATTTGAGCAAATCGAGCGACTGAACGATCTTCCATGCCATCTAAACGAGTGTTAATCACGGCAAACTGTTCTGAATGACCTTCAGATCTCGCCATTATCTCCTGCAGCTGAGTCGACTAAGCACGATTCTGCTCCTCCAACGTCGTGATCTGATTGTGAAAGGCGGATTCCGCTTCAATTGTCCGAGTGGAAAATGCGCTCAAGCGATCATCGAGCTGACGCACCGTCGTTGCCATGGCCGAGAGGAAGCTCTGATACCAATTTGTCACGCTCTGGATCGGTGAAGTCTCCCGGCGGTGGAATCAGATAGGAGGAGGAGAGGAAAGTAGAGAAGAGAAGAAGAAGAGAGAGAGAGGGAGAAGAGAGAGAGGAAAAGTTTTTTATTAATTTTCAGATGACCGTTAGGTTGTTACAGGGGAGGATTATATACACTTGCCAAATATCCCTTTTAGTCCATGTACTTCTACTAACCTCACTAACAGCTTTTATTCTTTACATTTAAGTCCCACGTGTTACAAGAATTAAGACTCTTGAAAGCTAAACCTTGCTTATCCCGCAACCCACTGTGCTCGTTCGTGCCTTGCATCATGATTCGTGATGAAAGCTGTAAATGAAAGAAGAAGAACCACAACACTGATCGTCTTCGATCGACTCCCCTGATCAACGTTGTTTGGTGGAAAGAAGGCCACACACCACTATAGCTTTTCGGGTGTTACCCTTATTCCGGCATGTGATCTTCACCTCCAGCATCTTCAGGGACGCTTACTTCGTTACCGACCACATTAAATCTATCATTTTGGGGTTTCATGTTTTTGACATTCCTGATGTTATTGGATTCTCTTATTCTCTATGATACTTTGACTACAAGCATTAGAGCCTAGTTTTGCACCCCCAGAGTAACATCATAGTTGCTAATTCCTTCTGTTTTGTTCTCCCTGCTGCAGATTTCGAGTACAACCCACAATTCCACAACGTGATGAGAATGACACACGCCATGTACAGGGCCTGCAACGCCACATCACCATCAGCCACATACACCACAGGGAACGATTCCATCACCATAACCACCCGCGGCCACCACTACTTCATCTGTGGATTCACCGGCCACTGCCAGTCCGGCCAGAAGGTCGACATCAACGTCCTCCCAACCACCACCACCGCCGCCGGTACACCTTCATCATCTCCCATGGCCGCACCAACTCTGCCCTCTGCACAATCCCCTGGCCCTTCTCCAAACACCGCTGCCTCGTCCATGGCTTCCATCGCCCTCGCTAAAGTTCTTCTCCTCGCCTTGGCCATCCTCGGATTCGCATGATTTTGGCGCCCATCAGTCGAAGTGTGTACACTTTAGTTTAGTTCCCCACCTTCTCTCACAATCGTTCTTTCTCTGTGTACTGATAATTGTTGGGTATTAGCGGAAGTAATGGTAATTTAGGATCAACACAAAGGAAACAATTGGTGTTTAATCACTCAATTTATGATTCACTCAAACAAACAAGTCCTTATTCATTTGGCTCTTGTCTTACACACTCACGGCAGAGACTTCTATGTTTTCTATTTTTATGTCTCTTGCCCACTCTCTCTGCCATTGCCATACACACTTATACATACATATATAGATAATGTAAATGAAAGAAACTAATAATGCCAAGTCTCTTTTCTCTTTCATGCATGTGGACGTGAATGCAGATGGGAACTAGATGACCCATGTAATTACTTCATGTTTCTTGCCAATAGGGATGGCAATGGGTCGGGTTGGGGCGGGTTTTGTCAAACCCAAACCCATGGGTTTATCTGTCAAAAAAACCCGGGGTAAAACCCGCTGGGTTTGAAAAACTCAAACTCAACCCAACCCGCTGGGTATCCGCGGGTTCATGGGTACCCATGGGTTTTTGTGGTAAAAAATTTACAATAACAAGTTTCTTTAAAATAAAAGTTTAACATCAATTTTCTCATACAAATTATTCATACAAAAAACACCAATCTAGAGCATACAAGCAAACCGCAAATGATCAATGCAAATTGTTCAAAATTAAAGATAAACATCAATAAACAATAAGATAAATTGAAAGCTTCTTCCTCGTCAACTAAGTTTCTTCACTCTCCACTTCATAATATCAACTTCATTCTAAACAATTAGAAAGAACAAATTATACATGTCTCCACAAACATAAAGAATATTAGTTGTTTAAGGAAGATATATTATTTAGAATATTAAATATACCGGGAAAATAATTATATGTGTGTGGGCGGGTACCCATGGGGCGGGTTTACCTAAACCCAAACCCAACCCGACCCGGTGAATAGTGTAGCGGGTTTAAACCCGAACCCGGCCCAAAACCCGTCAACACGGGTTTTACCCGCGTTGACCGGGTTGGGTCGGGTGGGTACCCATGGATTCGGGTTTTGTTGTCATCCCTACTTGCCAACTTGATATGCATGGGACTACATAATTATTCACCCATTAATTTGGTTGGCTTGCTTTCTTTTCATCACATCCACTTGCTGAATTATTTTTTTCTCATAACAATCAATTTACTTCTTTGTTGGCAGTAGGTTGAGATGTCCATCTTGTGCAAATGGGTTGTCCTCTTGAAGTGATTGTAGTGGGACATTTTGGTTATGATAATTATTGTTGCAAATTACCTTTCAACAATAATAAGCCATGGTAGTAGCGATAGAGAGAAAAACAGAGACAAAGATAGATGGAAATCGAAGTTGAAACTAAAACTCTGCTCTGATTTTTTATATATTTGTTATTCTATAAAACCAAACCAAATGGACAAGCTACTTCCCTCACAAAGCAAACTCTCAACTCTAGAGCATTATCACAAGACTAAAAGATAGAGGTGACAAAAAAGAGAAAAAGAACTGATTCATTACAAATGTACTCCAAGAGCTTCTTCAATGGCCGGTGCATTTTTTGTTTTTATCAGTCCATGAATTTTTTCCAGACAGGGTGCTTTTTCCAGACCCTTTCGGCCATGGCGTCGATGGGAACTCCCTTGGTCTCGGGCAAGAGGAAGACGACGAAGAGGCCCATCACAAAGATCCATCCCGCGAAGAAGAAGAAGATGTAGGCCTGCATGTGGCACATCATGGACAAAAAGGCCTGGGCCACGACGAAGGTGAAGAACATGTTGGAGCTCACCGCAAACGCAAAGCCCGCAGCCCGTGTCTCCACGGGGAAAGTCTCGCTGGGGATCAGCCAGCCCAATGGGCCCCAAGACCACGCAAAGCCCATCACGAAGAAACACACCAGAAACACCACCGCGCCGGCCTCCACCTTCGTCAGCGACCCCGTCGTCGGCAGATCCAGATGCAAAATTATCCCGATCGCTACCTGAGAGATGAACATCTGGACGCATGCTTCGAGTAGGAGGGCCTTCCGGCCGAGCTTGTCGACGGCGACGACGGAGACGACGGTGCTGACGACGTTGACGACGCCGGTGATGACGGCGGAGAGGAGGGAGCCGTCGTTTTTGAATCCGACGGTCTGGAAGAGAACAGGGGCGTAGAACATGATTGCATTAATCCCCGTCATCTGCTGGAAGATCTGGAGCGAGATTCCGATGATTAATGGTGGGAAGCTGGATTTCTTCATGAGCTCCTTGAATGGGGCTTTGGCACGCTTGGCGGCCTCGCAGGCGGCTCTGATCTGGTTGAATTCGGCGTCCACGTTGTCTACTCCCCTGATTTTTTTAAGGGTTTTGTGGCCCTGCTCCAGCTTGTTGCGCTCGACGAGGCTGGTCGGCGTCTCGGAGATGACGAGGGAGCCGATGAAGAGGCCGGCGGCAGGGGCGCCGGCGACGGCGAGGGAGATTCGCCAACCGTACGGGTGGACCTTCGAGACCGCGAAGTTGACCAGGTTGGCGAAGAGGATTCCGATTGTGACGAAGAGCTGGAACAGGATGTTGACCGCTCCTCTGTGATTCACCGGCGCTATCTCCGACAGAAACAGGGGAACCGCCTGGGAAACCGCGGGAAAATTGAAACAAACATTTTATCTAATTTTAGAAGAAGGGGAAAAACCACCAAATTGAATTTTATTTTGGGGGGATTAGAAATTTGTAATTGAATCGAATTACCTCATTTCCGAATCCCACGCCGACGCCGAGGAGGATCCGGCCGACGATGAGCATGGCGACGTTCATGGCGGAGGCGCTGAGGGCGGCGCCGCAGAGGAAGAACACGGAGGCGATGAGGATGGTGGGCTTCCGGCCGAATTTGTCGCAGGCTTTGGAGGCGAGGAAGCTAAAGACGAGGGCGGCGAGGTAGAGCGAAGAAGTGAAGAGCTGAAGGTACTGGTCGTCGTATTTGCAGTAGTTGTTTTCCTTGGCGTGGAGCTTCTTCTCGTACACTTTGGGGAAGAACTTGATTTGGAAATCGTCCATGGCTGTCACTCCACCTTCGCAGTACATTCAAAACACCACATCCAATATCAAATCAAAGAGAAAACAAACAAGCAAAAAGATCACAACTTTAATTTGTTTGTTTCAAAATTACATTAAGTCCTTATCATCATGTCTATTTTGTGATGGGAAAAGAATGACAGAGTGTGTAGGTCACTTACCAGAGATGCCAATGTCGTAGCCAAACATGAGGCCACCGAAGGCGGCGAGGAACCAACAAATGGCGACATAAAAAGTGAGCTTAGATGGGAAGTTTTGCTGCGTCGAGATGCGTTTTTCGGACTCGTCCATTGTCACTTTCTCTCTTGTGAGTTAGGGGATTGAATTAGCGGACTCTTGGAGGAAGAGACGAAAGCAGAGGAATAGAGACAGGTAGAGTGATTAATTACTGTTGTGATTGATTGTATAGATGATCTAGGATGCAAGCTGTGGTTTTATATAGAGAAGAGAGAGGTTTTGGGGTTTAATGTGGTTGGAGAAAAAGATCATGATCCACATTCCACAATCTATGGATAAATTTTGCTGACCGGGAAAAAAGAAGAAGAAACAACAGAACAGAACAGAACATAAGATTTTGCTAAATTTGGAAAGCTGCATTGCTGTAATCTAGGATGGTTTTACTAAATGAACGCGGTTGTTTAGTGAACTAACTAAATGGATGTATTTTATGAGTTGGATTTTATTTTTGTTTTGCTTTTGAGTTGTTATAATATCTCTCTTATATTAACCTCATTTAGACATTTTTTTTTGTTAATTACAAGTGATCAATCCTTCAAATTACTCCTGTAAAATAGACACGTGTAATGCTCACTTGTTATTTCAATTTTTTTAAATATCAAACCATCTTCTCCTTATAAATATACACACTAAAATTTGTGGATCTTTTTTCTAAACACAAAGATATTATACAATTTTATTTGGATAAATAGCACATTCGGTAATTTGATTTACCATTTTATTTCATGTTTACAAAACATTCATTTGGTGTCAAACGCATAGTATTTGAAAAATAAATGTTGCATGAATGGCTTAAAAGTTAAAAGTCTATTCAACAAAAAAAAGTTAAAACTCGTACTTAAATTCGTGTTTGTTATTATTGAACTTCACTCTTACACAATACTCTTAATACAGGTCATATTAATTGCTTTGCTCATTGAACGAGTTTATCATATGGACATCCACTGTCATGAAGCAAGGATGCAGAAAGTATATCTTGAACACGGGAGAGGATATGTCGCATAATCTTATGGTTAGTAACCTTGTACAACCCTTCATTTGTCATGTATAGAAAGTTCATAACCTTTTTTCAATTAATTTTATGGGTTGTATCTCTTTTATTTTTAGCATAAATTCCTTTTATATTTGAACATTAGAATAAACATAATTTTCCAACATATTATACATAATTCTAAAAATTATTGAAGGATCGTATCCCCAAGACCCGTGGTAGCTCCGCCTCTGATACACAATTCCGAGAAACAATTTTGCTCTACCTTGTAAACTTTGTCTCTAGCAGTGATTCAGCCTAGTATTACTATCCAAGCTAAGACACTACATCGACAATGCAATATCGACTCCAATTATTCTTGGATTTTGATGACGACGTACTAATCAACATATACTTGATGCTCTACATGGTTACAGTCTTACAAACTTACAAAATTTGCACTGAAGATAACACTATTTTCATTATTATCGGGGCTAATCCCAAATGGCTAATCCGATTAAAAATTAAACCTAAAATTACATGGTTGTCCCAATTTTTTTTTTTTTCCGTAACCAATTCTCTTAATTTATTATTTTCCTGATATTTTTCTCAGAATAACCAAATTCAACTGCACATTTGAAAGCAAAATACAACTATCGTCCATTAATTGCTCTAATTGGCCCTAAGAAAGCCCAATAACAAGGCTCAAGATAGGGTGCATAACCCATCGTCCATTAATTGCTCTAATTGGCCCTAAGAAAGCCCAATAACAAGGCTCAAGATAGGGTGCATAACCATGGGTTATGCACCCATCAATAACCAAATTGAACTTTTCATTTAGAAAATCCAGATCTAAGGATGGAGAATTAAAGATCATTTTTATTTTTCCTAGTTTTTTTAATCTGCTCATATCTTTTTCGTTTTAGCTCGAATTATAATTTTTTTTTCACAAATGGAACGAGTTCATCTTGCTCTATAAAATGAGATCAATTTTCAATATTTTTTAAGAAAAAAAAATTCTGGCCTCTCGGTACCAACTGCATACCATATGGTATTTTCTTTGTTTTTAATTCGTTTTGAAAACGTTTGCACAGAAGGGACGAGTTTATCATGATCTATTGGATCTACAAATTTCTGAGTGAACAAATTACATGACCAAAAAATACCACACAATACCATACAATACCACCCTGGTACGAGGTGGTATATTATGGTATATTATGGTATTTTCTTCGTTTTTAATTCGTTTTTCAAAACGTTTGCATAGAAGGGACGAGTTCATCATGATCTATTGGATCTACAAATTTCTGGGTGAACAAATTACATGACCAAAAAATACCACACAATACCATACAATACCACCCTGGTACGAGGTGATATATTATGGTACACAATAATAAAAGTCGTAAATGACAGTTAATATACTTCTACTATCATGTATTCAACCATCCTACAGTCTTGGTTTGTTCATACCACCATGGTACGCTTTTCAAACCATAGGTATGTTCTTATTTCAATACCAGTAAATACCATATGGTATAGACTGGTAAAAAATAACTCAATTTTTTTTTGTTCGAAAAATATATCAAAGTGGATATCATTTTGAAGAGCACAATTAATCTGATCTAACTGTGCAAAAAAAATTAAATTTCGACTTAAAACGAGTGAGAAATCGTCGGTCAAAGATTAAGAAGGGGAAAATTAAAAGCTTTCCGAAGAGAGGAATACTGATGTCATGCTGATGTGGGCTGGTTACTCATAGTTACTCACCCTAAGGTTACTGAACTGATCCGTTCCCCAATAACAAGGTTCAACCGAATTCGCAAAATCCTAAAGTCAACACGAAGCGGCGGCCGGTCACCCGTTCCTACTCCTAGTCCGACTCAAATACGGATTCCTTCTCCTACTCGGCAAATGAATCAAAGCTCCCTCTATATATACATAAACCCACACAAGACGATCGCTTACGCATTCTCCACAAGATCATCCAACAAAAAATCTCCACCGGCCTCAACCATGGCGGTAATAGTGAAGAGCAAACATCGTCGGTGCTCTGAAAAGGAGGAGAGGCCGACGTCCAAGAAGGCGAAACGAGAACGGCGATCATCAGATTTGGCGGAACCTCTACTCAATCAGACTCCGCGGTTGTGGATTCCACCTCAAGCCGAGAAACGATCTCACTCAAGACTCTACAACCCTGCCGACGGCAGCAGCCTACGCACCGTCGAAGCCTTCCCGGAAGAAAAAAACAGAGCTTATTTTTGCGTGGGAGCTTCTCAAGGCCACTTGATCTTCCTCCAGTACTTTGCCTCTTCCGAATCTCCTTGCTTCATCCCTTTCCTTCTCAACCCTATCGCCGGAACCCACAAACACCCCCTCCCTAAAATTGACGTCAACGTATTCGATTCCCCCTGCTTCAAGAACCACGCCGGAGAATTCACCACGGGGATGATTCGCGATAGCCTAGTTCACAAGGCCGTCCTGACATCCGACCCGAGCCACTGTGAGAGCTCGGGTCGATTCACTGTGGTTTTGCTCGGGGGCGAAGAGGGCAGCAGGAGGATCTCAATTTGTGCGCCGTTCATCGACTTTCGGTGGTCGGAACTGGACAGGGCAGATTCGGCGCCGTACCGCGACGTGTGTTGTTCGTCGGACGGATTCCTGTTCGCATTGGGAGGGAATTACTCCGTCGATGTCTGGAACATGAGGTGGGGGGAGGACTCTGATTCGCCGGAGAAAGTGACGAGCTTGGCGATGTCGGTGCCAGATCCGTTTCCCGTCGGGGAAACGGATTACTGCGTGTCAAGATTCTATCTGGTGAACGCTGATGTCGACGCCGTGCCGATGTTGGTGGCAAGGATTGTGGTGGAGTTTGTCGACGGGGAAGGCAACGTGGTTTGCGACCCAGAGATGGAGCCTCCGGAGGAGGGATCGAACCACCCTGCTGTTTGTCCCTACCGGACGGTCGGGTTCGAGGTCTACGCGATGGACGCTGATCGGAGGAATTGGGTGCGGGCGGCGAATTTGGGCGGCGGCGGGGAAAAGCACAGGAGAGCTCTGTTTTTGGGCGGGAACCACTCTGTTTCTGTCCCCGCCGGCGGCGGGATTGCGGCGGACAGCATTTACTGCACGGACGATTACTGGGAGCGGATGGATGAGGATTACTTGTACGGAGGGCACGACAATGGGGTTTTTCGGTTGAGAGACGGCGTGATTGGAAGGCTTGATGGCGAGTTTGAAGAAGAGGATAGATTTGACCCGCCGCCGAGCTGGCTTGTTCCCAGAACCGCCGCGAAGCTCTGAGTGAGTGCTAGAGTTAGTATGAGTGGTGTAGTTTTCATATCGTATGTATTAAAATTTGCTTATTGAGTTTCTAATTTGTAGTTCAATGATGTATTCAAATCGTTAGTGAAACGAACAAAGTTAAAGTATCAATATGAAAAAAGCAAGGCTAAATACTGGATGGGATGGGAACTAATTTCCAACATGTCAAAAGCCTAACAACATACGTATGAAAAGCATAATAGAACACGTTAGAGAGTTGTAGCCATATGTTAACTTTTTTGGTTAAAACCTGTCGAGATCTAGTACACATAGGATACACCTCCTCACCTCACTCTCCACCATCCTCCTTCCCCCTACATTACATCGCCAATCAAAATACGAGATGCGAGCTAGACGTGGAAAGAGATACGGAGTGAGTAGTAACATCGAGCCGGTTGTGCTAATAGACCCATTGGATAAACTGTTTAGCGCACGAGGAGGTAAGAAAATGGGTTAGCATCGAAACTTCACAACAAATTATTTGCACATTTTGTCAGGAAATCTCGTTCGATTTCGAGTTTAGGCACTCAACCGTCAATACAATAAAACTCCACCGTCCCGCCGCTGTTGGTAGAGGGAGGGGAGTCGTCATTGAGTTCGACTCTACAAGCAAGCATGGAATGATTTTCCATGGTAGCTATGGCCTAGAATGTGCATACAACTTCGACGATTCAACACAATCATAATTGTAGGAGCTGGCTACTATTGAGATTCGAATCTCCAAGTTAAAAAGAAAAAGAAAAAAAACGAGGAAACCACTAGACCAAGCCCTCTTTTGCAATAGGTAACCACAACCTAAGCACTAACATAGTATTTCATTTGTTCAATTGCCAAATGCAATGGCCAGTGAATGGACGTCACCTAGGGAGTATAATCACACAAACTCCTTCCTGAAACATTGATTTGACTAAAACCTATGAACGATGCAGCAAACTATGGTATCTCATCCGATTGAAATTTTCTGTTTAACTTTTTGCTTCAAACCACTGGATACAGTACAACCGTATCTAAACTGCCGGGTGTGGTTCATGTCTCAACGGGGACCCTTTTGCCTTTTGACCTTAGCCTGATCTATGGGGCAACAATGGACCAAGGATCCCCTTGTATAACCTAACACATTTATAAGCAGGGGACGAAGGAGCTCAAGAAAAACAAGTAGTTGCCACCCAATTAAACCATAAAAGACGAATAGAAAGCCCAGTGGGGAGAGGAAAAGAATGTCAATCATAATCTTGTGAGGATTGAGAGGGTGACTACTTCAATTTGACGGGCGATCTTGAGCCAAAAGACCGTTTAAAAGTGGTCGCTCCACGTCCAGACTCCTAACAGATGTGCCCGGTCCTCTCGGGTCATGACGACAGAGTCTGCCATTCAGAAAAGAACAATCCAGTTGATTAGGGCACTCCATGAGGACAGAGTGTATATCGAAAACAAGGGGCACACACTGAGCCGATTTGATATTCCGTATTTTGCCAGTTAGCTTGTCAAAAGAAACAAGAAAGTAAGGCAGCCCCTCGTATGAAGAACCAGTTGGTCCCAATAACGAGAGAGTGGTTCAGTCATGGATCTTAAACTATTTACCAACACCTCACGCAATAACTCTCCAATCCGTCAAGGGCGTCACAAGCTCTAGTTTGACTACCAAAGCAAATTTTAGAAACAAGGTGAATAAAGAACTACAAAGGTAAGGAGTGTTAAGATTTTTGTTTTAAGGCGTAGGTTTGGAAACGGTTCAAGAAGAAAAAAAAGTTAGCTGATAAGATATGAGATATCTTCTAATGACACAATATGACACGAGAAAAGCAAGCATAGAGACCTTACACTAGTTGATTGGAGCTCCACATTGGCTGTGTCCTCGCCATCCTGAAACAGAACCAAATCCATGTCCACGTAAAACACTTTAGTCGATACGATTAAAAGAAAAACAGAGGGGCAGGCAAAGAAAGCTTTGGTTTATGGGAAACTGTAGTGAAGACATGATCATACCTCAATCAACAAATCCTTTCTTGTAATTAGCCCAACAATGCGAGAAGGCCGAGGGGCAACGAACAAATGCCGCAATCCTAGTTGACGAAAGAGATTATATACCTACAACACCAGTAGCAAGATGCAGTCCATTGTAAGGCAAAGAGAATAACATTCCCCCATATATGTAACATCACAACCTACAAGTTACAGAGTAAGGTACTAACTTTTGTTAAAGACATATCTTCTGGGACGACATATGGAGAGGGGTTCAGAAAGGGTGCAAGATCTATGTACATTTCCGAGTCATCCGAACTCAAATGAATATCCTCTATTGAAATTCCTTTGCTTGAAACAGGTTTCACAAACTCGGTGAAATTGTGACTGTATGAACAAGAATCAAACTACATTAGGGGGAGTGAGAGGGAAAGCCAAACTGGCCGAATGACATCATTATCAATGCCACAATTACCTGATTGGTCTTGATCCACTGAGAGAATCAAACGGCAAAGGACTGTGCTGGAAATCTACCTTAGACTGAAGAAGTACTAGTAAATGACTGCACAGAGAAACAAAAAAACATTGTGTTAGTTTCCTTTCAGCTGCTATACTACCCTCTATTGAATAATATCACATGTTGGCCTGGAAGTGAATTGAAAAGGCAAGCATTACCTGCGAAGCATAAGCCCAACTACAAGCGTCTCTCCATTCCTTTTATGATCAATTACCTAAGCAGAATATAAACGGTAAGATTAATATATCTCAGACCTGATTATAAATGAGTAACAAAAGGTAAAGGAGAAGATTGCTTACAGGAAATCCATTGTGCTTACTGCTACGCAAGATGGAAACTATATCTGCAACCTTAGCAACACGAGGAAGGGAAACAACCTTCAAGATGAAAAAGCATGACAACTCATCAGTCAAATAAACCAAAAACATAGACCGAAACCCCTAAACTTATGTATTACTGTTCAATTTATCGATGTTAACATGGTTAGCAAAAAGATCAGAGTGCTTTCACTGAGAAGTCACCTTCTGATTTCCAAAAGCGTCCTTTGCGGTCATAGTCCTCATCTGGTATTTTGGTTTAGATTCCAGCAATGGAATGCCCTTTAATCTTGCCTGTTCTTCATAAAGGCCTTCATTAAAAGCATCACCAACGGCCTGCCCAGGCAGAGAGAGACAGAGAGGTGTGGAAAGTTGACAGGCCATTCATCAAGTTACCATGGGAAAGAAATTTAAAGAAGGTACCTTTGATATAAGGAGCACGAGCATTATAAGAGGCAGAAGTTTCAAGTTGTTGGTGATCTCAACCATAATGACACATAAAGAGACTGTCATCCTCATTGAACCTCCAAGGAAAGATGCAGCTCCAAGTAACGCATACCTAGCAACAAAACCAAGAAATAAATTAAGTAAAAATTATCGGAAAGAAAATCTGCAGCCAAGTTAGGTCGATTAAAAGTAAAAGATAAAAGACAACACGCAAATTTTATGGCAAGAGAAATTGAACACCAAAACAATGGATTTGTGCGAAGAGAAGATATCTAGACTTGTTGGAGGAACTTACGTTCCTTCCTCAATGTTGAGCTTCTTGTAGAAATTGACAACAAACATTCCAACAAGGCGTCCATATGTTGACCCTATCATTATTCCAGGAACAAACTGACCAGCAGGAACTGCTGTACCGAAAGTGAGCACTGCTAGCGTGTAAAACATAACCTGCAAACATCGAATAACATAAATCAGATACTTGCAATTATATGATCTAGATAGCTCAGCTGCATTACAACTCCGAGTGGTAATGTTTGTGCTATATAACTGGGATTAAGCGATAAAACAGTATCTCTCTCAAAAGATTATAGACAAAACGACTTAGAAGGCTTGGTGGCTAATATACTATTTGCCCTTTTTAGGCTGTGCAGACAACTCAAGGGAGGGATGATATTTGTAACGCTGTGCAGAACAGGTTTCAGGATGCAGCTTTAGTCAAATACATCAACCTTCAAGAAGACTAATTAACATCAACAACATAATATAACTAGGAAATGATGCAGTACCAGAAATGTCAATAAACTTTGTGCACTGAACTCATGGATCGTCTTTGCACTAAACAGATTCCTGATTGCGTCATCCTGTAACGAAAAGAACATGGACACAGTGAATAGGCCATAAAGATGTCATGAAGCCATAAGCGGAAACTAACATGAAAATGAAGGACAAGGCTGCAAGGCACTAAAGTACCTGAGTGTTGAAGAAAATTGTTGCAAGGTCATTATACTCCTTCTCCTTGCCACAAAAGAACTGCATATAGAGTAAAATTTTACTTGATTCCAATGACAGCGTATCAAGAGATATTATAAATGCTAAAAAGTAAAAACACAAACGGGACATAAAAAACCAGGAAAACAGGGAGGTAATTGCCAGGCACTATTCGTGAATATCAAGTGATAACAATGATTAAAGATGGAGGATATCAATATAGTTCAATTATTAAATGAGTGCAACAGCAGTTTAAAGAGGTAACTTACACTGACATAATTCCCATACATGCCCGGAGGGCGGGGGCACTCAATGCTAGAGTCGGTATCAGATTCTGGGCACGGGCTACACTTTCTCAGGAGTGGAAGTCCAAAAGAAACAGCAGAAGTTATGACTGAGATCAGGCATGCTTCGATTATCTGCCAGGTTCAGGATATGAAAGCAGAGTGAGAGAATTAAACCTATTTGAAAGAGTCAAATTTAGCAGAACCCCCCTTTCTTTACTTAATTCAGAATTGCACCTTAACTCGGGTTCCTTTCTTGTGTAAATGGTTTCGACGCCAGTAAGTTATATATAGAGTGAGTTGGTTGAATAAGGCACCTGAAAACCCAAAAGAAGAGAGAAAGAAAAGATAACCAGTGAGCAAACTATTTATTGTCAACAGAAAGGGTGTACAACGACAGATCCCTCTGGTACATACCAAGCAGACCACCAATCACTCCAATAAATGCCATCGGAAGTAACTCCTCAAAAGAGTAGTCTTCTTGACCACTGTCCAGGAGAGATTTTCAAAAAGTAAAATTAGAAATCAGCACAAGCTCTATGCAATACGGGAATAAAAATGCAACAGGCTTAAAACTTACTCTGAAACATCCCATATAATGAAGCCCCCTGAGCCAAAGTGCCCACACTTTCCACTCTTACACCATCCCATGGCAGTACGTACAACAACTGCCACAATAGCAGAAGTGAAAAAGACACGCCACATAAGTTGACTCCTCCACCTTCACGGGTACAACCAAATTATAATTAACTAGAATTCAAACTGTAATAATTGCAACACATCAAATGTAAATTTATATAGCAAAGCCAATTTCATGACATAATTACAATTGTCTTACCAAGATGTAACCTCTTCCAATGCGAACAATACGCCACCAACTGGAGCTCTAAAAGCAGCAGCTACTCCAGCTGCACACCCACAGGTTACCTTTTCAAAACAATAGACAGCAAAAAATTGAGCAAATAAGGATGCAAGCAATCTCCACGGATGGGTAACGAGAACTGATAACAACAGCATTCAAGCGCACATTAACTATACTACTACACAAGGAGGAATTGATTCATAGTAGGTGGCAAGCAAATTATTACGTTATGATTCCCAAACAGGAGCCACAAAATCGGCCAAATGGAACAACCAAAAAGGAACAAATAGGGGAATGAGTTGACATAGGTCACTCACCAGATCACGGCGGTCACGATCACTTTGGAAAAATTGTAACCATCGGGAACTTACATGATATTTTGTAGTCCCACCCTAATTAACAAATGGAAAAAAAGAGTAAGAACGAACTGTTTAATAAACGAAGAACAAAAAATGGTAAATGTGGTTTTGTGACTCCACAAAGAGTCAACTCCACAAATTCTCACTTGTCCAAACAATGAAGCTATGCAAGCACCGGTATGAACAAGAGGACCTTCCTTGCCCAAAGCAAGACCACCTCCCACAGAACCAATGCTTCCAAATATCTACAGCAATTAACGAAACTGAGAAGTGGGAAGATGGGTAAAGGTAATGGGCAGTAAGGAACATTGATGCCACAAAATACTATCAAACCTTTCCGATCAAGGTTCTGAAGAGTAGAATACCATGGATGTCAACCCCTGTAAATAATAAGATGCTCATCATAAAAAAGAAGGATACTTCAATTTCCTCAAGGGTACAAGAAAGAACTTTGATCTGAGGAATGAAGCTCACCATTTAAATAACCTTTAATCTCTGGGATACCAGACCCTGCTGCAGCAGGTGCAAAGTGGGTGATGATATATACAGATGAAAAAACTAAAGCCAGGTTGATTAGTACATAAAGTACGAAGCCAGCAAAATATGACTTCTGTATTATTGCAAACGTCAGCGAGAACTTCCAGCCGGCAAAGTTCTCCACCGATATATTGATGAAAACAGCTGCCAATCCAGTACCTGTAAGCAAACAAAATCGAACTAATAAGCTATCAAATTCTACAAATTTCAATGCCCCTACACCTCACCACATCACGTAATATCATAACTCCCAACTAAGAAGCTAAATCAACAGAACATGCCACTAAACTGTGATCTGGAAATGCTACATATTTACCAATGAAGAAACAACGGAAAGACCAAAAGGGAACGTAGGAGCTAACAATTGAATAGAAGAGTGCATCAGTGACCTTCAAGCCTGTAAAAGCCCAATTCAGATCAGAAACACCAAGACTTACCAATTCCAATAAGCAAAGCAAAGAACCACTTCACCACTACAATAAATCCAACGTAAAGCTTCCCTCTTTGTGCCTGCAATTCCCAAAGCAATGGAAGGGAAATCATAACAAAACAAGACAAAAAAACGTCATACTCGAAAATGAAAACACCCCCGAACCTCACTACAAACCTGCTCTTCTCGATACTCGTAGTTCTCAATTACTTCATAATCAAGACTTTCAACATTTCCGCCATCGCTGGTGCTCAATAGCGTCCCTCCATCGAGCTCCCCGTCCTCCGAGTTAGGTATCCGAGACCACAACAGATTAGCGGTCTCCATTCCATTCTGCAACTGATTCGACAACATCACCAGAAGATTCCTCCCCTGTCCACCTAATCAAGCTCCTGACCTCAAACCCTAAGCCAGCCAGAAGAGAGGAACTCCGGAGTTAGACAATCCAACTCCAGAATTCTGCAGAGAATTCGGGGTAGAAGCGAAACAGATCGCGACGCCGAACGAAGCTCCTAACAATGGTTCAGTTAGGAATTGATGCAGGGAATCGCGTCGGAACTAGTATCCGTCGCCCGTCGGAGTCCCTCTCTCTCTCTCTCCGGCGGTTATCCCTTCAACCTTTTTCACTTCTCCCGCTGGAGTTTCCTTAGCTCCGTCGCTTTTTCGGTTCAGTGAAATTTGACTCTTGGCGAAGTCTCGGAGCTGAATCTGACGGGCGTTTGTTTTCCTTTTCCGGCTTTCCTCATATTCTTTGGGTTGGGCCGCGGGCTTTTGATCAGATGCTACGCGGGTGTGTGGTACAATGGCTGAAGATTAGAGGCTTGGTTGGATCTGGGCCGTTGGATGTAGTTGATCAATGATTAAGTGACGTGATGTGGGAATTTGTTAGGTGTTTTGGCATACGTGTCGGGTGGAGTGCCAAGTAGGAGATTGATAATGACTGTTCGGGAGAGAGAAAGAGACGCGCAGGGAATGTGTTGTGTTGGTCCGTAACTGTACTGTGCGTTTTAAGGAAAGAAAAATTTGTAAAATATTCATTACTCGTCACCAGAGGGAGTTGTATAGACTGACACGTGGACGAGCAGTTTAAAATGGTATGGTTTGGTGAGTTTATGAATATATATATATAAGTATTTCTTCCCAGTTTCCTCTATTATTATTGTAATATGTGAAAGAGCTATTTAATTTTTTTTATGAAAAATTAATTAGTTAACCAAACAACCCCTTTGGGCTTTGGCAGAAGTGTCTTCTTGAAGGGATGATATAAACAAATAAAAAATTGTTTTCTTGATGATGTTGATATAACAAAATGGAATTGTTTAAATTATATAGTACATTAAGATTACGATAGTACAGCAAAACAAAAAATATATGGTTGTAATGTCACGCCAGCATCTTACCGGTTGGTTCAGCTGGGTACAACATGTACCGGTCATCAAACCGGCTGGAAAGGGGGCCGACATTCAATCTTGGCCAAAGTTGGTAAAATTCAAGAAAATTGATCAGTTAGATTAGAAATCGAATTTTAGTATTTTTCACATATGTACTCCAAAAATAAACATTGATCATTGGATTAGAACCACATACCTCATTTTCACTAATTTCAATTATACTCCAATAGACTATAAAGAACTTTGTGATATATATCAACCTTGTCTATTATATAAGTAATATAATATTTTACAAAAACCATTGTCAATATTAATAAAATTACCTCATATACTTTTGTTTTTATATATCTAATTGTTTTTAGTTATCACTTCCTATAAACTATTTTGTGTGAATTAATTCTTTTATTTGCTTCTTCCTAATAATTTATTTGATATTGATGATTTTCCATTTTTCTCATATATTCTATTAAGACCGGCATAACCAACATAAACCAATTACTATACCACCAACCAATCATACCATTTCACCTGTCAAACTGACATAGCAGTACAAATCGGTTCAACAATCTTGCTAAAATCCAATTGGTTGGGTTGGTCTATTTTGCTAGTCAAGGAAAGGAACCAATGGTAAATATGAAACCTTTGTAATTGAGAATGCGACCAGTGAGTCCACCATCACGAGACGTGAAAGTCGAGCACGCTTCCACCATCCACCTTCCCCACCCATTATTTCATTTCACCCACTCAAACACCTAAAGATAAAATGGTGAATGGCCAACCATTTTCAATAATGAAATTGAAAGTGGCCAATTGAGAAAAGCCATGCACGCAATCGCAATTCTACATTAAGTTCTTTTTGCCCCCCCCACTCTACAGTATGTATACTGTATTCTAATGAGATTTGTCAACAACACAATACTTACAAGTAATGGACACTTTATTCTCAAGCAAGAGCCAGAGGACCAAGGAGAAAGTGTAGTATATAGATTGATATCGCTCGCTTCTATTGGCTTCAATGAAGGCTCAGACCGTGAACATTTCGATGCATGAGAATTCGTCATATCATTATTGGTTTCGGTTCTGTGTCGCGTCACAATGCCGACTTAGCAGGCGTTTCAGATGCAGCAAGCCCTTGGTACATTTCTGTTATGGCACTCTGGAAGTATTCCTTTGTTTGAGCTCTCTTAATCTGAAAATCCAACAACAGGTAGTAACAATCAACATCACGAATGAATGAAGTTCCAATCTTTTAGTGTTCATTATACAGAGCTTAGAACCCTCACCTTAAATGTTGGGGTGAGAAGCCCATTCTCCAATGTAAACGGTTCCCCCACCAACATCACAGCTTTCGCATACTCAAACCCTCGAAGCTAGAAACAACAGAGAACGGAGTGGAAATCGCATTAAGAGTTGGAGAGAATGAAGGTTTGCAGCAGTTGATGGCATTGCTAATGGAACTTCTGGTTACCTGAGCTTCTCTTCCAATAGCATCCATGTCTGACAACACAGCTGCTTTTGTTCGTGGATCATTGCATAGTTGCTCCAAGTTGTCAAACTGAAATTTATACCGACGAATCAGTCTTGGATAAAATGGGAATTCAGAGGAGAATCCTATTTTGAAGTCTAACCTTGATGCCTTGAGAGGCAGCCCAATCTCTCAACACGTCTTGGTCAACAGCAACAACAGCTACCAAAGAAGAGTTGAAGCTATCACCATAGATGAAGCACTGAGCAACAAATCTGCACTTGGCATAGACATTCTCTATCTTCTCAGGAGCTATGTACTCTCCTTGTGCTAGCTTGAAAATGTTCTTTTTTCTATACCAATCAATACAGGCGTATGTTTATTGTTCTGAGAGTTATCAAAGACATCACAAAGTTCGACTAAAACAAATTGCTTGCAGTTCAAGTTTCAGGTTATCACCTGTCAATGATCTTCAGACGTCCTCCTGGTAACCATAGTCCAATATCTCCATTGTGTAGCCAACCTTCTCCATCGATCACTTCTCTCCTGAACAACATTCATCAAATTACTATTCCAGTACCAAAGTCAATAGCTTTGGAACCAATAAAGAGAGGAGCTGTAAGGGCAAATTTATGTTTGAGTTTCGTCTTTATAGTAGCCTTGGAAGACGATGGGACCCCTCACACATATTTCGCCACGTGGATAGGGCTTATCCTGAGAAGTGTAGTTCATTTCTGGAACATCCTCAAGCTTCACTTCTGCAAAATGGACAAACGAAAAAACTAGTGTTTTGCATAGAAAGAAGTATCACACAGGCAATTAAATCGACAGTGCTTAAATAGCTCACCACAAGCTGGATTAGGAGAGCCAACGTGCCCTACTTGATTGTCACCTAAATCTATGACGCTAATGACGCATGAAGTTTCTGTCATTCCATATCCTTCAAGAACTTCTCCGCCAAAGCAGCTGCAAGTTCATCGACAATCATTCATGAACATCCACCGGAAAAACAGAAACTGGTTTCCCAATGGCTACAACCAACCGAAACTTACATCTTCATGAACTCCAAGACATCAGGAGACAATGGTGAAGCTCCTAAGACAACATACCGAACTCGTCCCCCAAGTTTATCTCGGATCTTGTTGAACACCAATCTGTCCCACATCGGAGATGCATTCTTGCCTGCAATAATGTTAGAATCAGTAAAAAGAAACTTCCACATTAAGCTATTGTTTGCCAGTAATGTTCTTTGTTCATCTAACCATTCTGTAAGGCCTGCTTTTTGGCATTGTATGCAGCATTGAATAGCCTCTCTCTTAGTCCACCAGAACTCTTCACTGTGTTGGTAATACTGCAAAACCAAAATAGTCAATAATGGAACGGTCAACTAAAGTAAATAAGTCCAGCAGTAAGGAACAGTAAACTTCACCCCGCATATATTCTATTGAACAGTCGAGGGACACTGCAGAATATGGTAGGTCTAAGTGCAGCCAGATCATCCATCAGTTTCAAGTTATCCTACAAACATTGGTTTATAATATTTTCACGTTGCATATTCAAGTCCAAAATCTGAATAGAGAAGCAAAATGTTCAATTCAAACACATACCCCCTGGTAGAATCCAACAGCTACTCGGAAATGCACCGTCAAGACCTGATTTACCCGCTCGTAAATGTGTGCCAAAGGTAGATATGATATGTAACTGTTGATAAAAAGGTCGTTTCAACAAAAATGAGGTAAATTATTACACAAGGGGAAACATCGGTTATAAAAGAATGTATCAGTATACAAAACAAGTACTCACACATCTGATGGGTAGAAGTTGGTGGTTAATATGGAGCCAGCCACATTAGCAATCAGATTTTCGTGGCTCAGTACAACCCCCTTGCAAATTATCATCAAGTTAACCGAAAGTTAATAAGACCTAACTGCCATCTTATACATCCTTTCTAGTGGAAAATAATTAGCAAGAAAACTAAAATGGATGAGAAATATAAGAATACCTTTGGTGTCCCGGTGGTGCCACTTGTGTAGCAGATCGTAGCAGTATCTTCTGGTCTTTTCGAGCAAAAAGGGTGAAGTTTACTGGTACCCTACAAGGCACCAGTTACATGAGAAAGCAGTTTTTGCTACCACAAAGCTCAATGGAACAATTCAAAGCATAATAGAACAGAAATAACGGATGCAAATTGAAACAGTGATTACACTTAGAATGAAGCTCATATATCAAGGAGAAAAAGGATAGTGAAAGATAAATTAATACCTGGGTGAGCAGTTTTGAATAGGTTACAACCTGAACTCTAGTTGATGATGGAAGAGAAGGCACTTGATCATCGATCCCCCCAACAACCTGCTCAATAAGAAAAAGAAGTTCACTTTTAATGGCAAAACCAGTCAGAGTTATCTTCTGATCCCAGCTGTCTAAGGAAGAAAATCTTACCACAATAACACGGACAGATGGAATCTCTGACAGAAAGCTCAGCAACTGCAAGCTCCAAGTGATCAATAAGCATTTAAGCAGAAAAATTCTAGTGTGCTAAGAAAACAGAAAGACTAGACTCACAGAATTCAGTGTTTCAGGCACACAAAATATAGCTTGTACAACAGCATGATTTACAATGTACTTGACAGCATCCGGGCCTGAAAGAGAGAGAGAGTAACAAGCTCACCTCACCACCCGAAAAGCTATAGCAGCTAATTCCATGACAATAAGTTTTTATGTTCAAGTATGACGAACCGAGAGTGTCGTATAACGGAACTGATATATAAGAGTATGCAGAGCAGGCATGGTCAACAATAATCCATTCTGGTCTGTTGATAAAGTACAATCCAACACGAGCACCCTATGCCAAAGATGTTGAAACAAAAGCATCACAAGATGAAAGCTAACAAAATAACACATGATAATTCTGCATTCACCAAACACAATCTTACCTTCTCAATTCCATGATTCATTAGGCCGGACCCTATAGCTGTTCTTGCCGTGCCTGCTTCTCCAAATGTCATCCATTTGTAACTACAGAAACCGATACCAAGTCAATTAAAGTTTCCCATTCTCGGGATATGTGTAACAAGCCCTCACTAATATCAAACAGAGTTTGCTTACTCCCCAACAGTTCCATCGACTCGAATTCGCGTCCCAAGGTACTTGTAGTCTCGAAATGTCTCAACCGCATGCCTACAGTGTCATGAATTTGCTTCAATTGTTGTTTGTTTTATGACTTCCATAAAAACTTTACGCAACTAGTCTATGATTAAAACATGAAATGAATGGTGTTTCTTACACAAAGTTATCATGCAATGTGCCGATTTCGGGGTGATCAGAGCCAAACGGAAAACTAACTGGATTCAAGATTAACAAACAATCTGCTGCCAGTCTGCAATTCCCAAAGTACACAAGACTGTGAATTTACCTGTAAACATTCCACTTGCCAGTCTGCAGTTTCTCGGGAAGCACTACACTGTAACCCTGCTCTGCTCACAATGAAACCACCATCGTTATCAATATTCTTGAGACAAGATCATAAGGCACAAGACAATGCCCGTTGCCAAGATGATTAACAATCAACCTAATTGTAACAACAACAAAAAGTGGGGGGATGGATTTCTCGAAGGCAATCCATTTTTCCTATGAAAAATTCTCTCTTTTTTTTGTGTCAGTGGGCAAGAGATCAACAAAACCAGTGATGGGATTTCAAGAAACAAATCATATCTAAAGGGACCCATGTGGGAATCAAAGAAGAGAATCCCCAGCAACAGCAAGGGGACGAAAAGATTACTCATTTTTAGCAGATTACAGGAAGGCAAAAAAAACGAAGGCCCCTTTCCTCAACAAACACCAAAATGAATACCAACTTTTTTTGTCTGAATACCTGAGAAAAACTTGCCGGCGGTGGGGCTCTGAACCAGCTGAGCCGTCGTCGACGGAGGATCACCGCTGAGGTGATCTTGAATAGCCCTCGTGCGACGCTAAGCAGCCGTCGTCATCCCTCTTTGTTCCTCCATGTTTCTTCCGGCTCTGTTTGGCTTTGAAGCAGGGGAAATCACGAAAAGATCGAAACTTTTTTTCTCCCTCTTTGTTTTTTGGTGGTGGGTCAAGTAAGCAGAAGGCACGCTTCTCAAGGACGGGGGATGACGATGGGGAAAAGGGTTTACGACTGTTCCACACACAATATGATTCAGTTGGGAGGATCAGATTCAGAGCGATCGAAATTAATAGAACTCTCTGTGCGGTTGTCTGCCCATCCTCTGCTCGTCGTCGTCCTCCTTTCTTCTTCTGGGGTTTGATTGTTGTATCATTGTTGGCTATTTTGGTCGGATTTGGCTGCGTGGAAACAAATTTATTGATTATGATGAGTAGTATTGGTAACCATAGTTATTGTCCTTGGCGCGGCGCGGGTGGAGTGGAGCCGATGTTTGTTATCTATGAAATCGCCATTTCCAGTCCCTCCGGCTGTGGGGCTGCTTGTTTGTTTGTTTGATGCTTTTTACCTGGATTTCAAAATTACGTGTTTGAGGGTTGAATCCTGAATCGTCATCCCCATTTCTTCGTATCCATGTATTGGCAAATTTTGCTACGTCATTCATTATTAACTATATATATAGTATATACTTCTCATTATCGCAAAAAAGAACAGTAAATATGCTTTTTATGGTAGGAAAAAAACTAAATATACTAATATGCGGTATATTCTTGTCAATGCGATTTATGTCTAACTCTCCGGAATTTAAGATAGATAGATAGATAGATACTCATACCATTAAATAGAGGATGAACATTTCGTACCAAAAAGGGAGATGGATCCTTGTTTTGTTTTCATTTTCAATGATGCATGGTGTTGGGAATGGATTCAATGGGAAGCATATATTTGTATTAATGAAAAGATTTTTATGTGCCTCGTCAGGTGGGCATTAAATAAAACATCAAACAATAAGATTAAGATAGAAATGAAGGAGAAGAAAGACAAACAATCATGAGAAAGAATGAGACATATATTTGGTGGTTGGTGGTTGGGGCATTATTGGATAGTGCTATTCGAGTCGAATTTTGTTAAACTTGAACTCGACTTGGTTTTTAATGAGTCGAGTTGGGTCGATGTATATTTAACCTTGAGCTTGATTCGTTAAGAAACGAGTTGAGTTCGAGCTAAACTCAATAAAGAGCTCATGAACTCTACCCTAGCTCAGCTCAGCTCATCAACTAGCTCAACTCAATAAAGAGCTCATGAACTCTACCCGAGCTCAGCTCATCAACTAGCTCAAGGGCTCTGCTCGTTTATAAGTCTTAATGGTTGAACCTTTAAATTAAATATATAAAATAATTTACAACTTGAATATCATAATACTTGTATGTCATATATGCTACATATGGTTAATGAAAAAAAGAATAATAGTAAATTTTGCATCACTAATTGATCTCATGTTTATATACTATGTTGATGTAATATAATTTAGTTCATAATTTTTAACTAATTCATATAATGTTATATAATAATTAGCAATTATGCATTCTATAATACATAATTTCTCTTCAAATTATAAATGTTGCATGTACTCAAATTCTTAAACCATTATATATTATGAATATATAGTCTAAAAGACATGAATTATTAAGAAGACACACATAAGTTATATAATTGGTTTGCTCATAATTCACTAGTCGATCTGGCTCACTAACTACATTGTCAAGCCAGCTCACTAATTGAACTCAATTAGCCACTCAATCGAGTTAGCTCACGAGCATCATTAGCGTAACAAGGATGAGCTCTGCCTCGATTCGTTTACTAACGAGCCGAATTATAAACGAGTTTTTCTCGAGTAAAGCATCGAGCCGCTCATGAGTAGTTTGACTCATTTGCAACCTTGTCCTTACCTTACTATTAGTATCATTTTCAGTTTTCACAAGTTTAGTTATGTTTTTATTTGTTGTTATGGGCCTTGTTGCAATAAGAGTTGATAATACAATAGAAATTAGATAAAATCAGCAAAATCACTTAAGTAGCTTATTTATCGTTTACAAAAATGATTTCTTGTGAGATCCTATCAATTGGTGGAATAATTTCATTTAATAGAGTTTACATATTTTTTCCTCTTCATTGTATTACTCATCTATGAAACATTATTGTCAACATTATTTACAGATCTTTTTCTCTCTCAATCTTCTCACAACTTTTCATGCCACAATATTATTCAATTATTTTCCTTTTATTCTCATAACTAAATGCATTTTTGTTTATGGTTGCCAACTTTTATGATTTCTCATAATTATCAACTAAATATGATTTTGTTTTCTATTCACGTTGTTGTAGTCGTACCTCTATTCTGTTGTCACAACTCTATTGCATGTACAAACAACAACAAACTATGCCAAACGAAGGCCTTAGAAAATCATTGAAGAAGGTAAACTATTATATCATATTGGAGATTTATTTAGATCTCAAAATAGTGATACATTCTTGGCGCCTCAAATAACCCATCGTAACTTATCGAATCTAAACCGATAAACGATCTTAGTGGAATGAAATAGTTATCACAATTAAACCTCAAACGAGCAATTAGCAAGACGACTAGCTGAAAAAAACACTCCCTCAAACTCAAACCTCTCAATGCTCTCTTGAGTTTGAATCTCCAGGCTCCTATGGGGGCCGCTGCCGGCGCTCCTCCGGCGACCAGTGGCGGCCCTCCACCCCCCTGATTTCCTCCTTCCTCTCTTCCGCTTCCTGTCTTTTCTTCTTCGTGTTTCAAGTTCTTTTTTCAGTTTGTTCTTTTTCCTTTGTCATCTTCGCTCTTTCTGGCCATGCATTGGCTTTTTACCCCTCATGTGTGTTATGTTTTCCTCTCCTTGGTGGGATACCAGTGCTCCCCCTCGTGTGGGTTGATTTTGTTGCCCTCTGGTCTGGCTTCCAGATCTGAAGATGTTTGTTCGGTTCAAGATTCGAAGGAGCCCTTCTAATATTAAAAAGCCCTTCTAATAGTTATTTTACACAACCTCTTATATTAAAAAGCCCTTCTAATAGTTTTATATTAAAAAGCATTTCTAATAGTTTTACCGCCAAACACTCAACTGTTTTTTTATATAAAGTACTTATCTAAAAGCTCCAGCCAGAAGCTACTTCTACAAAAGCTAAAAAGGGCCAAACTATGACTTCCCCGGTACAATCTCCAAAGACCAATCTCAAGTCTCAGCTCTTACCTCTCTCTTTCTGATAATATGAGATGACTGGCTAACAAAAACATAAAAATCAACCTCAGAAGCACTAATTGACAAGCCTGATGATCTTCGGTACCCTGATATACTATACTATATATGATCACAGTATTCTCAAATTCGAATACACGACCAACTTTCCAACTACTTAACACAAGACTGTCGAAGAGTGAAAAGTAAACAGAGATCGAGAAAGCTAGAGTGGTTATGAGGAATCAAACCCACGAAGGCAACCTTTTCACACAAGACTGCCGGAAACCAATTCAACCTTCCGGTCAATTACCATTGCATTCTCTTCAACAAACCGCAACACTTTCCAGGCCCTTTCTACAAGAATTGCCCGTCGCACAAGTAGTACTGAACTCCATTCCCACAATAAGCCCCATTATAATATGGCTGCTAAACATCCGACCCTATTCTATAATGCTATACCCTAGAGCATCACGCGACGAGACTAAAGGGGTTCATATATTTTTTTACCGTGTAAACTGAAGGGGCTAACCCTATCTCAAACCCAAGCATACGGAGAGCCAGGGTAATGGCTCGCCCATCTCTCAAACAGCATCGTGGTCTTTCCGAGTTTGCTTCCATCGAGAAACCAAACGCGGATATGTGAACTCAATCAAGCTCGTATAGCCATAGAATCTATGGTCTTGCCCTCAGATGAAAATAATAGCAGCAACTCTGCTGCGAGTCTAAAAGAGCTCCATCAGTTGTTGTGCTACATCTGCATCAAATTCGCTAATGTTCAGTCATAGGTGGATTAGAATCCTCAAAACACCGGTCGAGATAACATTGAATTTTGAGCATGGAACAGGGTTGCAGACCTTGAAGAACGGTGGGAGGTGTATGGAACTCCTGCCATACGTTCTGGTAAGAAGGGAGATCCATGTTTAGAAACTTGGCAGCAAGGTAGGCTGCACCACCGGCAATCTGATGCGGCTTGAACTGAAGCCACAATGAACTCCTAAGCCTGCAAGAAAAGAAAAGGCAAAGATAACTCATATTAGCTCTACTAAGCTCCTAAAGCTAACGTCATTCACGATAGTTGCTTTCTTCACAAGCTAAAACCCATTTTGTGTTTGTGCATCTTTTAGCAACTTCGATATCAGCAAACAGAAACACATGAAAATCAGACATTGCATTGTGACAATGAATTATATGAACAGAATAACGCAAGTCGTTTCTTCTTACCAAACAGAAAAGCAGCAATCCTGGTAGTAGAACTATTTGCATAGAATCTCTGTAAGGTTGTTGTTAGGATAACTATACGACATGTTCTACTCAACTACAAACACATCAACTCCAGGGGGCAAATTCTGTTGCAGAGGCTTTTTTAACTCCAGATACATCATGATTTGATAAAACTATATATGATACACTACGAGCCTATCGCAATCAGCAAGCTTCTTAGAGCAAATAACCACATCTGTCTCCTCAACAACTTGATCTCGAATGTGTAAGAACCACACACTATACCAACACCACTATATCATTATTCTCGTCAGGTGATCGATAGTCAGGACATAATAAATTAATAATTAGCTAGTGAACAAACCTACAGGCAAATGTATAGACCTAACTACGATCGCTGATTCACTGTACTGTATTTTGACAACTTGAGGTAGCCCATTTTCAACAGAAAGTAGTATCAGGTCTCTGACCTGAGAGCACCTATCCCAATAGGCTAATTTCTGGGGCAGATGTCTAAACATTTACTTCCCAGTTGAAATCACAGTGACATCTAAATATCACGAACTTGGGTAAGAGTAAGACAGCAATACAGTCTGATAAAAGAAGATTTTCAGGATCCTAGTCTTTCTTGACAACTTGAGGTAGCTCATTTTCAACAGTAAGTAGTATCAGGTCTCTGACCCGACAGCACCTAGCCCAATGGGTTAATCTATTGGGCAGATGTCAAAATATTTACGTTCCATTTGAAATCACAGTGAATCTAAACATCATGAATTTGGGTAAGGCAGCAATTCAGTCTGACAAAGAGATCTAAGTCTTTCTTGGGATGGCATATAAAAAAAAAGACCAGTCAATCCCCACTCTACATAGCATGTTGATGCAGCTCAGATCGCTCAAGCTTTGGACATCTAACCAGGAAAAATTACATGTGTCTATCCAAACAACAAGCCTCCCATTGGGTTCCTACACCATTTAACAAAATCCAAAACTCATCAACGCATTCAGCAAGATGCCCCTTTTGCATTTCAAAATACCAAAAAGGACAACCTACCTTCACATGTGAATGAAAGTGTCTTGGTTGAATATATATATATATATATATATATATATATATATATATATATATATATATATATATATATATATATATGAATCCGCACTTGCTTGAAAAATGAAAGAAAAAACGTTCGATAAAAATTTGGAAAATACTGGACATCTGATAAAAATTTGAAAAAACCCTCTAAAGGTAAAAATGGATGAAAACCAGAGAAAAGAAGCGTTGAGTATAAAATTTTGAAGAAAAGAAAAGCGGACGAGGTGAAAGAAGTGGCACCACTCATTTAGGCTCTTCTTCCCCAAAAAAACCGTGTGGCCAAAAAATAGTGTGACTGAATAGTTGGACTGGCACCTCGTCTCCGAACTTAAAACTTGTCAGCAACTGGAAAGGGATAGGTTGACAGGCAGAAGGTTCTGAGGCTATCTTGGCTATCATATAAACAAATTGATGAGAGGATAGTCACGGCAATGTGATCACCAATACACAGGCAGTTCAACTTCAGAAAAAAAAAAAAAAACTTTCCAAGCACAGTATATCAATCCGCCAGCTAACAATATCACACAGTTGATCATGCTAATCTTGTGTAGACCTGCAATTATATGACATTCCAAAATATATCAATATTGGATACCAGAATAACTATGCTTGAAAGAGTTCAAAATCTCTTGACTGCTAGGCCATTGTCTTAGAATGGAAAAGAAATAAACGTTCATCTCCATGATAAATGAACCATGAAAATTAAAGCTCAACAATTCATCTGTTGGTTTTACATTGCTTACCTGTCTTCACTAAAGACATGGACAAACTGTCAGCTGCATGACAACTTCCTATGCACTAGATTATGTCTCCCGCAGAACTAGTCTGAGATTATCCCCAGACACAAAGACAAGGCATAGGCACACCTAATTGGCACCAGACGGAGCGACCACATTGGATGGAAGTTTATCCAACAAGAGAAAGCTCATTTTTTCCACCAAAATTAGCCGCTAAAACAAGAAACCTGCCGATATTTCTTGCCTTGTAGCGAACATGAAAGAAATGACTTACCCTTCATTAACCAAGTTTAAGGCCATATTCACCAAAAGAGTCTGTGCCAGGCCTAGCTTGTCAAGGACTGATGTGAGTGGAGCATAAGGATGCTGCACATTTAGCTCAAAATTGAGGGTAGTCAATATCATTTGTTCAGCATCAAAGATTTGTTCCCGGTACTGCTCAAACCAGTCCTGCACACAAGAAACTCAAGTTTGAGTTCACCCATATAAGAGTTGATAAAAATAAATTTGATTATTTGCCAGAAACCGAAAGTTCAACAATGTATGTTTATCTACCAGTATAGTAAGATGCATAAGTAAGAGATTCAGTACAATACTCACAATGGGCAGTACGTATGACAATAGACTGATGTTCTGCTTATGTAAAATCTCACAGGATGATCTCAATACATCATTCAATGGGCGTGGCGTCTCCTCTGTCTTTGCAGCAAGAAAAAGGGCAGCGGTAGCAATTAACTGCATAAAGAAAATCCATACCACCAACATGTTTAAGGAACAAGACACAGGAGGTGAGACAAAAGTGTAAAAGAATATGAGGACAAAAATGGGAATGCAAGAAGAATAACACTAGCGGCCAAAAGATTCTGCAATAATGCAAGCTATTAGTAAACCAACCAGGGGACTTCTGCCGTATTTTTCAACTCAGAAAGAAAAAAACAAGAAATGATTGGAAAAACCAATAATTGGAACAACTAGTATCTATTCAAAATGAAATTACAAACGAAAACATCTTGCATTGTTAGATTGTTGACAAACTCACAAATCGGTCGTGGCAAGCATGTGACCGGCGAATAAAAAAGCGGTGGCACAACACCATGGCGGTGCCAGTAGTTGTTTGTGGCCTGCAATTATAAAATCAAATATCAGTTAGAAGACCACAAACAGTTGGAAGTTAGCAAGTCAAAAGAGAAACCACCAAAACAAAACTACTCACAGATCAAGTCGCGAGCCAAGATTCTGAAGGAAGGCACAATAAGAGTAACGCAAATGTGCTTCATGTTGAGCATCAATACCATCTTTCCTCGACGGAGAGCATCGTTCAATCTCGTCTCTTGACAAAAAGAGTGGTTCCTCTTCTTCTAGTTTGGAGCGGTCACGTTTGCAGCTAGTAGAAGTAGATGCCCCAGTATTGGTCATCAAAGGTGCAGGGAGAGAATTGATACGAGTCAAAGGTGCAGCAGCTTCATACAAACTATTAGCCCTTGGAAGGCATCTTCCGCCATCTCTATACATCTTAGGTTGCACATACTGTCTCTGACGATCTCCGTGCGTGTTATTAGACTGTGTTTGATACCTTGCAACATCTCCATATGAGTTTGAGTGCTGGTAGTCTCTCCCACAGTCCTCAAATGTGTTGAGCTGCAGATAATTATGCCCGTCACCATCCCGCCACATACTAGAGCTGATCTTTCTCCTCTTTAGAGATGTTGCACCGCTAGGAGGAGGGTTGTTGTACTTGCCACTGTCACCAATATGGCTCCTCAGTTTCCCAGAGAAATCATAGAAATCCTGATACCTCCTCCGATAATCATGATTATCGTTCCGACCCGAGTTCAGATACGCACTCCAATCATAACTTCCCCTACTAAACGTGGTTGCACGATCATCGAGTATTGTTCCACCTTCTGAATGATAGTTCCTCATGAAAGACATGGTACCTGACGAACTTTTTTCCAACAACCAGAAGCAAACAGTAAGAAAGGAACAACAACCAAGCAAATCAAATGCCGAGACACCACTGTCTCTACCAATCATCATCCCATTAAAGCTTCAAATTCGAGCTAAATTCACTCAGATTCTGATGAAAAAGCACGCGTTCTACTAGTGCGGCTTCCAACCTCACCAACTACAACTAACCCATCGACGGACCAAATCGACAAGAAACAATTAAGATTAACAGAAACGGTTGAGCTTGACAAGACCGGATATAAAGCGATGAACTGGAACTAATCAAAGCAGAACCAGAAACCTCCCGAACAAAAAAAAAAACACCAAATCAGGCGGCGAACCAACAACTCGGATCATGGAATTTCAGGCAAAATTCTCCACGAAGTCAAGCTTAAAACGAAGGTTCGACTCTCCACGCATCTATCTTCAGAGCAGATTAAGTCTAGATTACCGGGAAATGAGCTCGGGTTGAATCAACCGATTGATCGCAGGAACGGAAAAAAGCGAGGGAGACGATGCAGGAAGCGGAAATTACCTGAAACGAAGCGGGGATTGCTAGATCGTAAGAAGAGCGAGCGGTCGGCGATGGCGATTGCGATTGGGATTGGGAGATATTGGAATTGAGATTACGGTCTGAGAGAGGAGAGGTAAAAAAAGAGGGGAGGTTTTGAAGGGGGCAAAAGGAGTGGGGCGTATGAATGACGATTTCAAAAGTGGGAAAGGGCAAGAACGGGGTAAGAAAATTTGCCGAGCCCCAGTCCAGTTAGAGATGGCAGGTCGGGACCTGTTAGCGGATACTCGCCCTAAGCCTGATCGAGAAGGGCTCAAACGGGCTGGTAGCAAAGGTCAGTTAATGGGTGGCGGATTACCTGGGATCCATCAACCCTGGGTTTCGGGATCCACCCGACGGATTATCCGTGCCTCCTTTCTGCGATTAGCGATCAGTTCGCAAGATAATCACAATTTTTCGTCTTTTTCTCCTCATCAAATACTCAAATTTCTCCTAGTTTCACTGCAATCTATCTTCAATTCCTCCATTCGACCAATCGCATGGCTGGAAGAGCAACTATCCGACGTCGATTTCGTCGAGCACAACCCAAAAACGAGTCGTTTGGAGTTAAAATCCCTGATTGTTCGTAGATAACATATAACTTAATTATGGATTCTTTTCTTTTCTTTCGATTATCTTCGTTGTATCCTCAAAATCTCTACTGACTCTCGTACTGCTATATATATGGGGGGATTTCAGAGGTCGTTCCTCACCAGTCACCATCCTCACGTTGTCTAATTTCTACCCAGAACACCCAGTCCATAGAGAGCAATGACAGAGAGATTGCAACGAGCATCTAGATAGAGTCCAGATCTTTTTCTGGGTAAGGATCTTGAACTCGTCTACTTTTTCTGGGTTAGTGGTGTTAATACAGAAATGCATGCTTGTCATCCTATTCTAACTTTGTTTTTGTTCGTTGTTCACTCCTTTTTGGCCAGGTTGGACTCGTTTGAATCGGTATTGAAGGACTAAGTTCTGAAGAGCAACTGAGCGAGTGATAGTGATCATCAGTGATCAGTCTACTGTCATTGGGTACTCAACAGTCCTCAGAAAAACTCAAAGACAAGGTAATCCCGTTCTCCTCTCCTAAGTCCTAAGTCCTAACCAGTAGGCAGTAACCATTGTATTTGTTGTGTTGGTTTGACTTGTTGTGACTATGGCTTGCTTGCTAATGATAAGAAGTTAGTTAGAAGACGTAAACTGTAATGGTGAAATTGTTGAAAATGGTGTCTTGTTTGCTGGTTAGAAGAAGTTTTGTCCATTTAAGTAAGAAAAATGTAAAATGAAGGTATAATTAGTGATATATAACTTGATTATGTTCAGATGGAAGGTGCTACTGCTAATGCTATGAATGTTGATTAACATGTCCCTGAAAATGGTGTCCAAGTCCAACCTGAACAACCTGCTCATGTTCCAAATAATCCGGTTAATGGTAATGAGGAAGAACTGGAAGCACAACGTAAGTTAACCTCTAATGTGTGGCATCACTTCCACAAAGTTAGGATTAATGGGGTAATGAAAGATAGGTGTAAGTACTGTCGTAAACCCCTTGGTGAGAAAACAAGTAATGGAACTTCACACCTGAGAAACCATATCAAAACATGTATCTAGAAGAGGATGCATGATGGTTCTCAAAAATACTTGGCCCCAACTATCAACCTGGTGTAAATCCTCAACTCTCTGCTTCTCAATACAATTATGAGGTTTCTAGGAAGGAACTTTGTTCCATGATTCTGGTCCATGAGTACCCCCCTTAGCCGTGTTGATCATGTGGGTTTCAAATGTTTTTGTTGTTCTCTTCAACCTCAATTTGCTGTTCCTAGTAGACACACTGTGAAAAAGGATATTTTGGGTCTGTATGGGATCGAAAGGTCTAAATATCATACCATGATTAAAAGAAACTAGGGGAGAATTTCAGTGACTACTGATTTGTGGACTGCCACAAATCAGAAAATGGGGTATATGGTAGTAACTGGTCACTTTATTGACAACTCTTGGAAGCTTCGTAACATAATGTTGAGGTTTATGTATGTTCCAGCCCCTCACACTTGTCAAAGACTAGCTGATAGGTTGTTTGATTCTCTTCTTGATTGGAGTATTGATGATAAGTTGTCCTCAATCACATTGGACAACTGTACCACCAATGATTCAATGATATTTCATATGGAAATAAGCTTGTGAGCAGTGATCTATTGCTTGATGGTAAACTCATTCATATGAGGTGTTCAGCTCATATTCTAAACTTGATTGTGAGGGATGGTTTGGATGCAATCAAGGGTGCTATACATTTGATTAGGGAGAGTGTAGTTTACTGGAATTCTACACCTAAGAGAGTTCAAACCTTCTTCGAAGTTGTTAAGCAACTAAAGTTGACCTTTGAGAAAAAACTGGTACTTGATTGTCCAACTAGATGGAATTCCAAATACCATATGCTCTTTGTTGCTCTTCAATATAAGGATGTTTTCTTTCATTTGAGCTTGAGGGATAGTCAATACACATCTGTTCCTTCTAGTTCGCATTGGGAATTTGCATATGTTGTGATTGATAAGATGGAAATATTCTCTGAGATAACTCAGTTATTCTCTGGTTCCAAGTATCCGACTGCCAATCTTTTCTTCCCAAAGATTTGTGACTTGAGATTGAAACTGAATGAGTGGGGCCTTGATCCCAACCCTATGATTTTTGGAATGGCCAGTCAAATGTCCGAGAAGGTTTATAAGTATTGGGATGATATCCATCTTGTACTTGCTGCCTCGATTGTTTTAGATCCTAGATATAAGCTCCATGTGATTGAATACTATGTTGGGAAGTTTGGGAATACGGAAACTAACTTGGTTGCTGAGAATAGCAAGAAGATTATTTGTGGTTTGATTCTTGATTATCAAACCAAAGCCGAGAAGAAGTCTGGTTCTGAAACTGGAACTTCTTTTGCTAGTTCTGGATCTGTCTCGGCTACTGAACTTGACTTTGAACTCTTTGTAAGTCAAAGGTAAAAGAGCAAGAGTTCTTTGATTACTACTGAGTTGGATATGTATCTTGTTGAGGATATTATTCCTCAGACAACAGACTTTGATATGCTCTTATGGTGGAAACTGAATGGTCTCAAGTATCCACCTTGCAAGCAATTGAAAGGGACTTTTTGGCAATCCCAATTACATCTGTTGCTTCTGAAAGGGCATTCAGTTCTGGTGGGAGGTTGTTAGACCTCACCGGAGCAGGCTTCATTATTCAACTGTTGAATCAATGATGTGCAGACGAAGTTGGATTATGGAAGACATGCAATGAGGTAGCATGCAACTAAACCTCCAATTCTAGTACAACTAATTTTGTTTACGTGTAAATAATATTTTTACATTTCTATCTGCAGATTTGGAGGATGCTGCTGCTGTGGAGGCATTGAAGGGAGTCTTCTCAGCCTTGTCAGTCGAGGATACGACTGTGGAGGAGGCAGAACCCGGGGGTAAGAAAATCCCTTCTCCTTTTCTAAATTTTCTAACTCTGTTCATTGAGATTTGAGGCTGAACTAATGTGATTTGCTACCTGGTTTTCAGGTCCAGAAATGGTGTTCTTGTGATCACCATTTGGCCAGGAATCTGATCATTTGCATATGTCAAGCCAGATATAACTTCAAATAATCTTCTCTTGTGTTGCAAGAACCTCGAGGTTGTTGCTAATTGTTAGGTTTAGGAACTTAAATAATAAGAATGCTTACTTGAATGCTTGTGCAAACATGCAATTGATCAATGTTGACTGCTTCTACTTGCTTTGGAATAAGACTCAGCCAAAGTTAGGATGGCTTGAAGCTGCATCTTGCTCGAAGGAAGGCTGCTGTTACATTTGCTCTCAATAGTTAGGATGACTTGGAGTTTGTTTTACCTTAGTCAGCTAGTTGTTCTTGCTTTTGAATAAGACTCGGCAATCATGGTGCTGAGAATGGATGTTTTTTGTTGATTTCAAGTTCGAATTATTTAAAGTATTTGTTGATTGTAACTTTGTTCAGTTCATGAGTTCTTGTTGCTGTTGATTTCAAGACTCAACAATCATTTATTAAGTTTTATTTTATTTTATTGTAGCAAGAATCTTAGACCCGCGGGCACCCGAAAACCCAGCGATAACGGGGTTGGTGCCACTACCAGACCTGTATCACCGTTTGGGCCGGGTCCGGGGAAACCCGAAGCCCATTATGGGTGGGGGACGGATACAGGGTACCCGGGCCCGATCCGCCCCGTTGCCAAACCTAAGTCCAGTTCTTGTTGGCATGAGTGCGGTGTGGTTTAGACTTAGGTTCCGGATTTGGTCGATACCTTTTTTCCATATCGTGTATAAATTTTTAATTAAATCAAATTGATTATATTAATTATATTTCATTTGGAATTTAAATTTTTTATGGAAATCTCAAAATTACATTCAATTTGACATTTTTGGGGGAAACAATTATGCACATATTATAATTTTATATAATGATGATAATATTTGGTAATAAGACAATACCAAGTAATATGAATATATCATATAGTATAAATGATTACATGCATAATCATAATAGTAATAATATGTGAAACTCATATTTGGCCATGTTTTTTCAAAAAATATATTGAATTTAATATTTAACGATGTACTAGTTATGTCTGTACAATTTTTTTCAAAATTTGAGTTAAATGAGAAAGCGATACAAGGTGGTAATGGTTGGTACATATTTTTTTCCCTTAATATATATTGTAAATTTATATAGTTTTGTTGTGCACAATGAATATATTTCATCTATGAAACAAATTTCAAATTTTGAGTTAAAATAAAAAGATACATGGTTTTTTTTTGGTAAGGAAACGGGCGACAGAGCACCCTAACAAATAATGGGGAATGAGTCTGGGAGTTTGACTCCCTATAAGAACAAAGAGCAGTCAGTGCTGTAGCAGCTGATCGGGGACCAGAATCGGATGAGTCCCGACCTGTAAAGTATGCATGTCGAAGCCAAGAAGTCCGCCACCATGTTGCCCTCCCTGTAAATGTGCTCAATCCGTACCTCCCAGTTGCGTTGTAGCATTCTCCGCACCTGCAACACAATATGGTAATGTGGGTAGGTATTGGTGGCTGCCTCGATGATCTGAATCGCCGCTCGAGAATCGTTTTGGATGATGATCTTCCGC